TGGTGCACCACCTAGCATAAACACATATCCTGCTGTTGACTTTCGTTCTTCAGCATCACTACACCAACTCGAATCAGTGTATCCCACTAACTTGCATTCTTTTCCTTTATCAACTGCAGGAAACAAAATTCCATAATCGAAAGTTCCTTTGAGATACCTTAGTATCCTCTTCACTGCTGCTAGATGTGATACCTTTGGCTTCTGCATAAATCTACTTACCATACCTACACTATATGCTAAGTCAGGCCTTGTGTGACAAAGATATCTTAATGATCCAGTAAGTCTTCTGTATTGGGTTGGATCAACATCATCTTCATCTGCATCTTTCGACAGTTGCAGTCTTGGTTCTGCAGGTGTCGAAGTTGAGTTGCATTCTTCCATCTCAAACCTCTTGAGAATTTCTCCTGCATATCTTCTTTGATGCATCATCAAACCTCTACTGCTCTTGTAGAATTCGATACCAAGGAAATATGAAATCTCACCCAAATCAGACATTTCGAATTCCTTGCTGAGATCACCTTTGAAGTCTTCGATCTCACTCTTGCAGCTACCCGTTATCAACAAATCATCTACATAGAGACATAGTATAAGCAATTTACTCTTGCTTCTTCTTACATATACTCCATGTTCAGTTATGCACTTCACAAATTCCTTCTCCCTTAGAAAACTATCAATTTTATTATTCCAAGCCCTTGGAGCTTGTTTCAATCCATACAGGGCTTTATGTAGCATGTACACCTTTCTTTCTTCGTCATGTTTCACAAACCCAACTGGTTGTTTAACATAGACTTCTTCATCTAAGGGTCCATTTAGGAATGCACACTTCGCGTCCATCTGACATATGTGCCAACTGTTTATTTCTGCTAGACCAACAACCAACCTGATTGTTTCGATCCTAGCAACAGGTGCAAAAACTTCGTCAAAGTCTATTCCTTCTTTCTGTAGAAATCCTTTCGCCACAAGTCTTGCTTTGTGTCGAGTTACTTCACCTTTCGAATTTGTTTTCACTTTGTATACCCACTTGACATCAATTGCCTTCTTGCCTTGAGGCAATTCGACAAGTGACCAAGTGTTGTTGTCTTCGATAGACTTTACTTCTTCGTTTATTGCTTTCACCCACTTTGAATCTTTTAATGCTTCAGCTGCATTAACAGGTTTGACATCTTCATAGAAAGCATAATGTATCAGCTCACCTTCATTATCTATTACATCATCTGATGTAATCACACAATCTTGCAATCTTGCAGGCATGCGTCTTGTTCTTTGAGGTCTGCTTGTACTTGGTATATCTGTTGGTTCCTCCTGTCGAACTTCTCTTTCGACTTGAGTTTCTGGCTCTTCGAATAGGATTCCCACTGAATATTTCTTGACATTTGCAGTCCAATCCCATTCTTTAAACTCATCTATGATCACGTCCCTGCTGATCACAATCTTCTTGTTCTCTGGATCGAACAACTTGTAGCCTCATGTCGAATAATATCCAACTAGAATCATTTGACTTGACTTATCATCAAGTTTTCTTCTCAACTGATCTGGTACATGTCTATGTGCAATAGATCCAAATACCTTCAGATGACTCAAGCTAGGTTTCACACCAGACCAACATTCTTCTGGAGTAATTCCTTCTAGCTTCTTTGTAGGACATTTGTTCAAAATGTATGTTGCATTCGAAACAGCTTCACCCAACAACTCTTTAGGTAAATTCTTGCCTTTCAACATACTTCTCACCATATTCATGATGGTTCGATTTTTCCTTTATGCAATTCCATTTTGCTGTGGAGTATAGGGTGGCACCACCTCATGCACAATCCCTTCCTTTTCACATAATCTGTCGAAGTCTTTCGACACATATTCTCCTCCACCATCAGTTCTCAAAACTTTGAGCTTTCGACCACTTTGTCTTTCGACCATAGACTTAAACCTGGTAAATACTTTGATCACTTCACTTTTCTTCTTGATCAGGTAAGTCCATAACTTTCGACTGAAATCATCTATGAATGTAACAAAATATTTGTTACCTCCCATCGAATCCACCTAGATTGGTCCATATACATCAGAGTATATGACTTCAAGACTAGCCTTCGATCTGCTTCATGCATCCTTGCTGAAGCTATTCTTGTGTTGCTTCTCCTGCACACATTCTTCACATACCTCGTTTGGAATGTCAATTTCTGGCAATCCTGAAACCATATTTCTTCTCTTCAAATCTCCGATGTCTCTGAAGTTGAGATGACCTAGTCTATAATGCCATATCCATTCATCTCTGCTAGCTGCAGTCAAAAGGCACTTGTGCTCCATCATATTTAGTTCAATCTTGAAGGTTTGATTCTGAGACATAGGAGCCTTCAAGATTACTCTCCCATTTGCATCAACGACTCTCATCAACTTATCTTCGATTGACACTTTATAATTATTTTCGACCAACTGCCCTATACTGAGCAAATTGCTCTTCATGCCTGGTATGTACAACACATTGGAGATTACTGACCTTTTGCCATCTTTCCTCATAATCATAACATCACCAATACCTTCAGTTGCCAGGGTATTGTCATTTGCAAATTTTACCATATTTTTCTTTGAGGGCTTTATATTGACAAACCAGTCTTTCCTTCCAGACATATGTGATGAACATCCTGAATCCGAGTACCATTGGTCCTTGAATATATCTTCATCTCTTGTTGTGACCATCAGCATCATCTCTTCTTCTTCATGTTTTACAAGCTTTGCATCACTTTCTTGATTCTTTCGTTTTTCTGGACAATCACTCGAATAGTGTCCATATTTCTGACAATTGTAACATTGAATGTGACTCTTATCAGGTTTTCGACCACCACCTCTTCCTCTATTTGCAACACCACCTCTTTGGTTGCCTTGGTATGGTCTTCTTTGATTCGACACGTCTCCTTCGATTTGGTTTCTTCTACCATTAGATTTGTTGTAGCCACCTTTACCTCTGTCGAAACAATTTCCTTTGCCTTTGGTCTCTTTTGCTGAATGTGCCTGCAAAGCCACATCACTCTTCGATTTTCCTGCAACTCTTTCGTTCATTCTTTGTTCATGAGATTCAAGCGTCCCTTGAAGCTCTTCCTTTGTCAATTTCGACAAGTCTTTCCCCTCTTCTATCGCCACTACTATGTGGTCGAACTTAGGATCTAAAGATCTCAAGATCTTCGACACAACAGCTCTTGTTGTTAACGCTTCTCCACATATCTTGATTTGATTTACTAGTTTTGTAACTCTAGTGAAGAAATCAGATATGTTTTCACTGTCTTCCATCTGAAGCAGTTCATAGGTCCTTTTGTGAGTTTGTAACCTCACTTCTTTCACCTTCTCAGCGCCTCCAAAAGACTTCTCAAGGATCTCCCAAGCTTCTTTTGCAGATTCTGAATCACTAACCTTTTCGAAATTGTCTGGGCTGACACATTGATGAATTATAAATAATGCTTTATAACTCAGCTTCTCAGATTCTGTGTATTTCTTCTTTTCTTCTTTTGAAGCGTTTTCGCCAAGCACTTCGACTCCATCTTTTACAAGGTCCCAAAGACCTTGACACCTAAATAAGACTTTCATCTGTTTGCACCAATTCTCATAGTTGTCAACTTTCAGAATTGGTAGCGTTACTGGATAGTTTGCATTCCCATAACTTGTCATCGTGAATTCTTCAATCGTTCTTGATTGACACTTCCCTTGAATCGAAACAAAAGCTCTTGATACCAGATGTTGGAAATCCACCAAATTCTATGATGAATTTCTACCACAATGACAATTTAATTATGAGACAAACAAAGAAAAGAAGATAAGACAAATAATTTCTGCAGAGTTTCTCTCTGCCCACAAACTGTGGAAAACTTTATTAATCACTTTGCAACTGCAAAATACTCTGAATAGCTTGCTTGACTTGCTTTGAAAAATAGGGGTTACTCCCTCTATTTATAACTAAGCTTACACCCTAAGCCCAAAACCCAAAATATCTTTTTGTTACTAAATCAAATCAAATCAAATCTATTCTGGACCTAAATCAAATCTATTTAAATCTAAAATAAATCAAATCTTCTTTGACACTATGAATTACAATTTAACAGTTATGGTATGACTCCGCTCGTGTGGTTAATGACTGTGTTACGGTATTATACATATCTTCCTAGAGGACGAGCCCCAATGCCACGTAAAGATCATGCACGGGCAACGCTTCGCGAGACGAGAACTTGTATGTTGCCCTTATTTTGAACCCTCACAATTACATCACTACCGGTATATAAAAATGTGTTATGTTTAAAATAATATATTTTATTTATTACATTTGTAATAAAGATTACGTAATTTATAATTTTACTTTTATAAAAACTAATAAATAGATGGTTTTCTTATGATGAGATTGAGATAGCCCATAACACATTTAGTATCAGCCTCAATTATTATATTTTAATTCTATTATAATAGTCTTTTATTGGCCCGCCATTTAAATCTTATTAGAGCTGATCTGTTTAGAGTTGGTAGTCTTTTTTAACCGTTCTATGTATACTCCTCTCTATTTTAAAAAATTATTATGTTTCATAGAGATCACTTTTCTTTTTCGTATATTTGTATGACATATGATAAAAATGTGGTTAATTCATTTGAACAAATAGTTGTTTCAATTTATGGTTAAAATTATTATTAATTCAACTATATTAACCAATCATATTTTATAAGATTAATTGAACTAATCATTTACTCAACTAAATTAATTACATTTTTACACATAATAAATCCATTCTGAAATAGAAGTATGAAAAATGGTGTATTTTCATCATCAATTATACATTCTAATGCATTAAAACACAAACATTAATTTGTACGGAGTATGTACTAAAAAGACGTATGCATGATTCAGGTTTACTTACGTAACGTATGGTTAACGAGGAGGACGTTTCGCTAAACTGATTACTATAAATATAAACACACGTAAAGTTATTCTCAACTTTGCAAGCTCAAACTGAAAACAAAGTGATAGTAAAATTATGTCAGTTTCAGCAACATCATCGCTAGTTGTTCCTCCAACCACAAATAATTCATCTAGACGTTCGGCAAATTATCACCCCGACATATGGGGGGATCATTTTATTCAATGTCTATCGGAACCTATGGTATTAATTTAACTTTATTTTCACTTACTTAACTTTATATGTTTGAATGGAACATCTAAGTTTTTTTAATGTGCAGGAATTGGATGAAATAATGAAGCAGATTATAATGGTAAAAGAAAAGGTGAGGTTGATGCTAGTCCCTACAAACCCCTTGAGGGATGCTAATTTGATCGATTCAATCCAACGTTTGGGGTTATACCATCATTTTGAGCTTGAGATTGGTGAATTATTGCAACATATTCACAATAATTATGTCCAAAATGGAACGGTAACTCTTAATCTTAACCAAGATCTTCAATCTATTGCACTTGTCTTCAGGTTACTAAGGCAACAAGGATACCATATTTTGCCCGGTACGTAGGTCCGAATTTAATGTTTTGAAGGTTAAAAAAAAAGAAAAAGATAATCATGCATGTTTTGTACATCTTGTGGTTTTCTTAGGTGTTTTTGAGAAGTTCAAGAATGAGCAAGGAAACTTCAAGGAAACACTTGTTGATGATGTTGAGGGAATGTTAAGTTTGTATGAATCCACACATATGAGGATTCATGGAGAAGATATATTAGATGAAGCATTTTCTTTCACTTCATCACACCTTGAAATAATGACCACTCAATTGAGTCCTTCTCTTGCTACTAAAATTAGTCATAGCTTAAAGAGGCCACTCTTCAAAAACTTGCCTAGACTAGTGGCAAGGAATTATATTTCTACTTATGAAGAAGACCCCTCTCATGATGAAACTTTGCTATTACTTGCCAAACTAGATTTCAATCTGCTACAAAAACGACATCAGAAAGAACTTGGTGATATTTCAAAGTAAGTTTTATTATTACAAAAGTTGAATAATGGACAAATATGATTTTTTTTTTTTTGGATTTACGTATTAGATGGAACGTGCTCCAAATTATGCATGGTAGAGTTTTTCAAACAAATCATGTGCAAGAGTAACCAAACCATTAGTACAAGATCTCAAACTTTTGAAGGCGACGTTTAAACATATTTTTACTTTTGGCCATAATAATTTTATAAATGTAAAAAAAAAAATTAAAACATGCTAGTAAATAAACCACTTAGTGATGGGTCATCATAAGAGGAGCATTCACATCAAGTAAAATACTCACCTAAAGGTCAAAGCTTGGCACAAACAAATAAAAAAAGATATAACATATTCACTCAAAAATCAGATAGTAGATTAAAAAACTCATCCATCTTTGACTAAGTTTCAATCCTCATCCATTACTCATCATCATCCATCTCACATAAGTTTTTTCATTACATAAGAAATATAATTGAAATCATCTGAGTAGTTCTTAATACAACTAGAGGCGTGATTAAATCATCTGCAATATTGCGGGTTCAAATGTGGTTACAAGATAGGAGAGTAGAGGTCACTTTGATAATGAGCTTGCTAGAAATAATCCGATATAGTTTGCTTTTACAAAAATTCACCCATGGCATTTCAAAGCCTCTCAAAAGATATTTGATATTCTTTAAATTCTTCCAGTTTCCTTCTCCTACCAAAATTGTATCATTAGCAAATTGCATTGAAAGATATCAAAAGAATCCTCCTCATAAATTTTGTACCCTTTGGAATTCTCCCTTTTCCCTCTTAAATCAGACTACTGTTTCCTTCATTGCATGCACTTTCCATCAAGTTACAACAAATTTTATAAAATTAATTATATTTTGTTTTTATAATATTAATTATATTAAGTTATTTAATAGTAAAAACTGAAATTAAAAAAACATAAGTATTAAATTGTTTGAGACAACTCGGATTTTAAATTATGACTTATTATTATTATTATTATTATTATTATTATTATTATTATTATTATTATTATTATTATTATTATTATTATTATTATTATTATTATTATTATTTTAAAGTTGCAAGATGATCACTCATGTTTGCTGATTATTGAAATTGGTTTGATTTATTTAATTAGATGGTGGAAAGAATTGGATTTTGCAACAAAACTGCCATTTGCACGCAATAGAATAGTTGAAGCATACTTTTGGATACTTGGAGTATATTTTGAGTCTCAATACTCTGTTGGTAGAAAGATAATGACCAAAGTGATCGCCATGGCCTCAGTAATTGATGATATATATGATAACTACGGTACATTAGAAGAGCTTCAACTTTTCACTCAAGCAATTAAAAGGTTTGAATTTTTTCGAATTTTCTCTTTTCAAAATAATTTTTATATAGATAAGGTAGAGTTAAAAACCCACCAGAATTTTGCAGGGGAGTTTAATTATTAATCTCGTCATTTGAATTGAAATTTAAGGTGGGATATGAGTTGCATGGATTTTTTACCTGAATACATGAAATTTTGCTATAAAGCCCTTTTGGATGTTTATGAAGAAATGGAGCAAGAGATGTTGAAAGAAGGAAGAGCTTTTTGTGTCAATTATGTAAAAAATGAAGTAAATAATATAACTCTTCATTTATTTCCCTAGGGTACTTCTTTCTAAGTACTATATTTCTAACTATCTTTTTTTTTTGTAAACTATTTGAATGTGCACATCAGATGATAAGATTGGTCGAGGCCTACTTCACGGAGGCCGAATGGTTCAGCAGCAATTTTATAGCAACAATGGAAGAATACATGGCTCTTGGAATAGTTACTTCTGGTTACTATCTACTCACAGCAACATCCTTTATTGGAATGGGATGCATTGCCACAGAAGAAGTTTTCAAATGGTTAACCAATAACCCAAAAATTGTTAATGCTTCATCAATAATTTCCAGACTCATGGATGATATTGTTTCCAATGAGGTGATTAAGCACAATAATTAATCAATAAATATCACTTCTTTTAAATTTATTAATTATATTCTAAAAACACATGTTTAATGTTTTATTTTATTTTTGATTAGTTTGAGCAGAAGAGAGGGCATAGCGCCTCTTCTATTGAGTGCTACATGAATGAACATGATGTGTGTAGAGAAGAAGCAATCAATGAACTTTCAAGACAGGTTACATATGCTTGGAAGGACATCAATGAAGAACTTCTTGATTCAACTGATATACCAAAGCCTCTCCTTACGCGAGTTCTCAATTTAGCACGTGTCATTTATGTGCTTTACAAAGATGAAGATTGCTACACTAATTCTCAAGGATCAACAAAGAATGATATAATATCTATCTTGATGAATCCATGTCCAATATGACAAAAACGACTCCTCTTCTTCTTCATTGTTCATCTTATACACAAGTACACATCAATTCCAATATATTTCGGCATAATCAAGGTTTCGAGTAAATGTAGAAATTATGACGGATTTATAAAATTACATGTAAACTATGTATTCAAAATCAAATTTAATATAAATAAATTTCATCTATCTCAAATATATATGTTCTTATAGAATAGTGAAACTAAGAGGGCATATAAGCAAGGTGATAGTTGAATTAATAAAAACAATTTCAATTTAAATGTAATTCTGATTTAAGTATTTGCATTTAAGTTGCATTTTAGTTTGTATTGGAGTTTTGTTTTTTATTGAAAGTGTATAAATACCGAAAGTTAGTTACTATTGTGACAGTGTTTCCATTTTGAGATATAGAGTTAGTTGAGATTAATAGTCTCTCTCTTACAATTCTTTCATTTTCATCTTCTTCAAGTTTCGTATGCATCCATGATGTATTGTTGTTAACTCCAATAATTGGTATTCAAAGCTCTAGTTATGTTCACAGGAAAATACGAGTGTACTTGAGGTGTGTGATTGATTTTGTTCTTCAAATTTACACTGAATTGAAGAGAATCACATTTCTTGATTATTAGGGATTGGGACACACAAGTGTTGGTGAGAAATGAGTGATTTGCACAAGAACGATGATGAACGGCAGAAACGGTAGCTTGAATACAAAGCTTACAATATTCGACATAAAGAATTGGAATCAATGGTTGATTCAGATATGTGTGTTGTTTAGCGCTCAAGATGTTCTTGATATCGTCAATGAAGGTTACACTGGTTGCTAATGATTCAATAAATCAACAAAGAAATGTACAATGTGAAACGAGGAAGAATGATTAGAAGGCATTATTCTATATCCATCAGTGTGTGGATACGAAGGTATTTGAGAAGATTTTCAATTCAACGGTTGCAAAGGCAACATGGGATATAATAACGCAGAGCAATGATGGTGACGCGTCAGTGAAGAAGGTGAAGTTGCAGTCCCTACACAAGCAATATGAGAATCTCAATGTGAAAGACAGTGAGAAGGTGTCTGATTACATCTCCAGAGTTATTATGGTCACGAATGAGATGAAGTCTTATGGAGAAATGCTCCCTGAACAAGTAATCATTGAAAAGGTACTAAGATCACTTACTCCTCAGTTTGATTACATAGTTGTAGCTATAGAACACTATAAAGATACAATCACCATGAACATTAAAGAGAATCACAATAGTCTAGAGGAAGAAGAATTGCGCTGAAAGGGAAATTGAACAGTCTCTGAAAGCTTCTTTTGTTAAGAAGAACAAGAAACAAGCATAGAACAAGAAAAAGAATGATTGTGGTGCTCAAAAGTTTGAATCCTCCAATCCAGATGAGAAGAAACATAAGAAGGGACATAATAAGTTTGATAAGAGAAAGGTTTAGTTCTACAACTGTAACAAGTGTGGCCACTATCACTACGCCAAAATAGCTTTAAGGCAGCGCACCTTAGACAGTGCTTCTATATCAAAGCGCTGCTATATATCCCGATAAAATTTTATATTTTAAAAATATATATTAGATAGCGCTTTAGAAAAAAGCGCTACTTAAAGTCAAGAAAAAACGTTGCTTAAGCCACACTTTAGGCAGCGCTTTTTGAAAGCGCTGCCTAAGGTTAATTAAAATTGAAATAAAAATAAAATAAATTCTAGATAGCGCTGCCTAAATTCAAAGCGCTGTGATAGCTCCAACAGTAAAAAGCATTGTCATAGGCCCAAAGCGCTATTAAAGACACACTTTAGGCAGCCTTTTCTAAAAGCGCTGCCTAAGGTCAATTAAAATTGAAATAAAATAAATAAATTCTAGAAAGCGCTACCTAAATTCAAAACGCTGATATAGGTCCAACAATAAAAAGCATTGTCTTAGACCCAAAGCGCTGCTAAAGCCACACTTTAGGCAGCGCTTTTTACTACAAAATTTGTTTTAGGCAGTACACTATAGACAACATTTTTTTCCTAAAGCGCTGCTATATCTTTAAATTTATTTTGAGTAAAAGTGCTGCTAAAGGCTTACTTTAGAAAGCGCTGCTTAAGATGTGTTTAAAAAGCGCTTCTAATAAGCGCTGCTATAGGCCATACATCAGAAAGCGTTTTTTTAATTAAAAGCGTTGCTAAAGGAAATACATCAAAAAGCGCTTCAAAAAGCGCTGCCTAAGGTCATTAATTTTTAATTTCTAAATTAAAAATACGTAAAAACCCTAAAACTCGTCTATACCCATATTCTCTCAATACATCTTTCTCTGCACAACCTCTTAGCGCTTTCTCTCAAATCTCTCCGCGTTACCGGAATCTCTTCGATCAGCTTCAGATTGCCCAACCTTCTCCGCTTCTCTAGCTCTTCAATGACACCTTCTCCTTCGTCGTGATTTACTCTCCTTTGTTCAGCAAGCTCAACCGTTTTCTCACAAATCACTATCCTCATAAATTTCTCTCTACAAGCAACAATCGTAAGTCATCCGGAACAACTCCCTTCGTTTCAGTTTGACAATAAATCACATCTTCATATGTTCTGATCATTTTGAAATTTCGATGAGTTTCGATTTCTTTTGATTTTGAAATTTGGTAGATTGGTATTATTGTTGCAGAATGAATGAGGAATGTGTAGTTATATGTAGTCTTTAGGTTTAGATTAGTTTTGGTTAGGAGTGAGGTGTGGAATTTGTTAGAGTCAGGTTTGGAGAGAGGTAAGGAATTGTACGTAGAGTTTGATTTCTGTTAGAGAGTGTGAGTAAAGTCATGTGTAAATTGTGTGATCTTTGTATCCATGTCTGTTTTCGCTAGGTTCAGAACCTTGAAACCGTGTGCTAAGTAATTTTCCTTCTTCAACTATCTGGGAAACTGTTTTTTGGTTTTGATGTGACAGAGTTAGCTCAGATAATGGAGTTCTTATTGTCATAAAATATGAGTATGAATTCTATTGTTGCATGAAATTTCTTGTTGAGGAGTATGTCTTAGACGCTTTGAATGTAAGTCATTTATAATAAGAGATCTTTGTTATCTCTCTTTTTTCACTAAGCCTTCTGTTGTACCCCAAAATTTGCCCTCTCTTTTCCCCGAGAAATCACAGCTTCGGGTTTTTCCCTGACTTTTCAGATTGGCGTAAGAATCAGTCAAACAGACTTTTTCTTATCAGTCTATCCAAATTAGGGTTTTCATGGACTCTGGAACAGTTCAAGCAGATTATTAGGGTTTGGTTGAGTTTGGCTCAGGGTTTGATCAGGCAGGCGTTTCTTTGACATTAAATCAAGAACTAGGGTTTGTGCGCGCATTCTCAGAAAGAATTAATTCTACAGTTCTTTTCAATTTACTCTGGGATATGGGTTGAGGCTTCTGATTGAGAGTTTGCAGTGTTTGATTTAATCAGTGAAATAAAAGACATATGGACGTTTGTTTGATTAATTGTGCAATGTTTTGGATTATTCGGAACGCCGGACGTTTATTGATTATTTATCATTTCTAAGTTAAAATTATTGGATAAATTCCTGTTATTATAATTCAAGAAATATAAATGATTAAATAAACAATTGAAGAGGAATTAAAAGAGTAATCTGACAAAAAAGATTTGTTTATTCATTTTGAATTTTTTGTTACAGATAATATTTGAATACTGTAAATTCATTTACAGTTATTTACATTAATATTATTACAAATAATTAAAATGAAATAAAGTTATATCCTAAATGTCTTGAAATCTTCATCTTCTAATTACATCCTTTGCTCAACTGATTTTTACCTGCAAAAAGAAAAGAAAAGAAGTCAACACAGATGAAATCAAAGGCAGACAGTTAATCATAAAAAAAGCTCATCATTAAAAATGATTGGCCGGAATCAGTTGTTCGCCATCTCTGCAAATCACAAGAAAACTCTTGGTTCACAAAGAGGGATAGAAAATGTTTGCAAGCAATTAAATGCACAAAGCTACATGGAAATATACAATGCTGCATAATTCCAAATTGTCAACCAAAGAGGCAAACTGAACAGCCAAGTGAATATGCCAAAACAAGTCACAGTTTCAAACTAAGCAAACTGAATGTCAAAACAAACTGTCAAAAGCTGTCCAAAGAAGATATAGAAAGATATCAAAAGCCAAAAGCTGTCAACAAGTACACAAAAGGCAGAAAACCTGGAAAAGAGATATGCAGAGCAAAACCATAATGCAAGCAACATTTCAAATATTATCCATCATTTTCCAGCCAAAACACTTTTTCAGAAAAGCTATTTTAAAGCAATATAATATGCTTTAATAGAGAGAAAAGAGAGAGAAAAAGTAAGAGGCTTACAGTACAGCAGGCTTAAGGACAAGGATAAAACAAAGAGTTATCAGAACAAGAAAAATAAGGCAGAATATACAAGAGATACCACAACTGTAACATTGCTCAAGCTTGCTCCAAAACTGCCTCCAAACTGTAAACATCCTGCAAGATACAAAACACAAAGCCTGTACCAATACAGCATAAACCCCATACAAGCCATACAAGCCTGAAGCCTAAACCTTAAGCTTTCAAACCAGCATATCACAACAAAGCCTGTCAAACATTCAAACTGCCTCAAAACCTGTTACATAACACAAGCTTAAGCAAACAGCCTCAAGCCTCAAAACTACCATACAAACATTCAACCACAAACTTGTGGCCAAAGCCTAAACATCCTGCCTGTTCCAAAACAACAAAGCTTTGAAACATACAAAATAGAAAAGCCTAAAACACAAGCTTGCCTCTAACCCTGTCAAAGAAAAACATCACTAACCCTAACAATCTTTGTTCAAAATCCAATCCATCCAAATGTCCAAATAACAAAAATGAGTGCCTCAGAACTAGGTTCATCATAGGCGAAGCTAGATCAGTCCAAAAGAGAGAAAGAGAATCAGAATAAGGCAAGCATTCAAGCAGCCAGAAGTGAAACGATAAGCCAATAAAGAACTCAGATTCAAACATCATCATTGATAAAAAGTT